TTCCACCATGTGCTGCTGAGCCTGGAGGGACCACAGTCAGCCTTGACGGGAGTGAGGTTCTGCGTTCTCTTGATGGGGGGAAGGAGAGGGCAGTGTCCCTGAATTGGAATAGGAGGGTTACAGATTGGGGTTGAAACCATTACAGGTTGGGCTGTAGGAGCCCTCAGGGCTTCACTCTCCTCACCTAGGACTTCTTCCTGGCAGCTGGTGGAGGCCATTGTCCTGCCCATGAACCACAAGGAGAAGTTTGAGAACTTGGGGATCCAGCCTCCAAAGGGGGTGCTGATGTACGGGCCCCCAGGTACGGGGAAGACTCTGCTGGCTCGGGCCTGTGCTGCGCAGACCAAGGTGAGTGCTTTGGGAAGACGAGGAGGAATGGGCAGGACCGGGCACTCGGAGCCTGAAGGCACCTGTCATGGTGCTTCTGGCCTGATTACGTCAACCCCCATTCCCGCCGCCCCCAGGCCACCTTCCTGAAGCTGGCCGGCCCTCAGCTGGTGCAGATGTTCATCGGGGATGGTGCCAAGCTGGTCCGGGATGCCTTTGCGCTCGCCAAGGAGAAAGCTCCATCCATCATCTTCATTGATGAGCTGGATGCCATCGGCACCAAGCGGTAAGGGGTGCTGGGTACCACCAAGGAGATGGTTCTGAATTCCTACTCCCACCCTGTCCCCTTTCCTGGGGTGATGGCATTTTTACTTTGTGTTCTTCCTAAATTCTTTTCTATCAAGCTTCCCTGCTGCTTATCTTTCCCCCTGACCATCCATTTTCACAGCGGGCTGCGTGTTCCCTACAAAAACCTTGTCATGTCACTCATGCAGTCACAGCCCCTCACACATACGGATTCTACTTAAAACCCTTCCTGGGCCTCCCCATTGCTCCTTGGGGTAAATGCTTGGGCTTGCCATGACCTGCAGGGCCCCTTCAGTGGCTGTCCCTGCTCCCCTCCGGCCTCATGCTGGTTCTGCCCCTGCCTCCCCCGCCCTCGGGACTCTCCGCAGCCCCCCGCCCGGGCTGCAGGCCCACTCTGGCTCTGCAGCGGGAGAGACTGCGCGTCTGCTGTTTCCTCTGTGGAGTGTGCTTTACCTTCTTCCCTCTTCTGTGATTGGTTGCCCAACTGATGTGTTTTCAGCCTTTAGCTCTCGGCTGAGGTTCCCCTTACACTCCAGGCCTGGGCTGGATCCCTGTGCTTCTAAGCTTAGCGCAGCTTGCAGTGGATGTTCATCAGGCGCTGGCCCAGGCACTGGGTGGTTTTATCCTCAGCTCCACACCTGGCCCCAGAGCCTCCCTGGTCCCTGAATGCTGCCATCCACCGCTCCTGACCCCTTTTCCGTGCTAGTCCCTGGCCGGCGCCCCCAAGCTGAGTGAGACATTCCCCTGCCCTGGATGGGCTGGGCGAGGCTTCTGGTGGGGGGAGAGGAGGGAGGGCTCTGCCCAAGCAGCGGCCTCACCAGTGTCTTGGGCCTCCTTCGGGCCTCAGCTTTGACAGCGAGAAGGCCGGGGACCGGGAGGTGCAGAGGACGATGCTGGAGCTTCTGAACCAGCTGGACGGGTTTCAGCCCAACACCCAGGTCAAGGTAAGTATTGTTGAAGGTGAAAAACATGGGGTTTAGAGGCCAGGACCTTCTCGTTACCTCGCTGTGGCAGCCATAGCAGGAATTGGGGTCTGTCTTGAACGTCCCCTGCCCTTTCACCTGCACCCTGGGCTGTCTCTGCCTGTTGTGGCCGTGACTGCTGCTGGTCTGAACCCCTTCCTTTCAGTTCAAGTTGCTGCTGCTTTCTTTGTTCAGGTAATCGCGGCCACCAACAGGGTGGACATCCTGGACCCTGCCCTGCTCCGCTCTGGCCGCCTGGACCGGAAGATTGAGTTCCCGATGCCCAACGAGGAGGCCCGGGCCAGAATCATGCAGATCCACTCCCGAAAGATGAATGTCAGGTGAGCCCGCTGTCCAGGAGCAGGCGCCGAGCCGCCCAGGCCTCCGCCCATCCCCTTCCTCCCGCAGCCCGTTCACACAGCACCTTTCAATACCATTTTCTTTTTTTTAAAAAGTATTTTTTGCTGATTTCAGAGAAGAAGGGAGAGGAAGAGAGCAATAGAAACATCAATGATGAGAGAGAATCACTGATTGGCTGCCTCTCGAGCCTGCAACCTGGGCATGTGCCCTTGACCAGAATCAAACCTGGGACCCTTCAGTCTGTAGGCCGACACTCCATCCACAGAGCCAAAGCAGCTGGGGCTGAATACCATCTTCTAACCTCCACTTCTCCCACGTGCCTGAGGTAGTCTTCCGGGGGCCAAGACTCCCCATTGTCGCTGCTCTACTCCTTAGGCTCCACCTGCCTCCTCCTCCCCCACAATAGGAAGGTCTGCAGGCCATTGGGCCTCAGTTTCCCCACCTCCCTGACCTCAGCACATGGGCACAGCCCCACATGGTCCAGGGGGATCCATCCAGGGGCCAGATGGAACTAGGTTCAGATCTCTGTGACCTTCAGCAGGTGACATAACCTCTCTAAGCCTCAGCTTTCTTATCTGGGACTTGTGTGTCGGGGGGCGGGTAATGGCGGGTTGTGGCAACATCAGGCACAGTGCTCGGCATGTGAGCTTTTTAAGTGGGAGCAGCACATGCACACGGCCTGTGCTACTCACGAGAGGCAGATGGCCATCCTTGTCTCCACACCCTCCTGCTCCCCCGCCTCAGCCTCAGAGGTCCCTGGGGTCTCTAGTATAGATTTCTAGAAGGCTGGAGCTCAAGACAGAGAAATCACCTTGTCTAACCTGCTGAAGAGAACGAGGCACAGTGTGAGCTGACTGGATGGATGGGGCAGCGTGGGGGACCTGTGCTCCCCCCGCCCCGCCCCCATGAGTAACTGAGGCCAGTGGCATCTCTCCTCCCGCAGTCCTGATGTGAACTACGAGGAGCTGGCCCGCTGTACGGATGACTTCAACGGGGCCCAATGCAAGGCCGTGTGTGTGGAGGCGGTGAGTGGTGGGTGAGGTGGGTGAGTGGGTGCTTCCCGCCCCCTTCCCTGCAGGGGGCAGCATTACGTGGCCAGTGGGCTGCTGCAGGGAAGAGGCTGGGCAGGCTTTGGCCCCGGGCGCCAGGCCAGGGTGCGGGGAGGCACCCTGAGGCTGTGTGTCCTGGGTGCAGGGCATGATCGCACTCCGCAGGGGTGCCACGGAGCTCACCCACGAGGACTACATGGAGGGCATCCTGGAGGTGCAGGCCAAGAAGAAAGCCAACCTGCAGTACTATGCCTAGAGCGTCCACCACACCATCCCCTGCGCTCCTGCTGGTTAGAATTCATAATAAAAGGTGGTTTCAGGTCACTGACACCTGTCGTCTCGCTTCTTAATGGAGGGAGGGGTGTGCTCGCACGATACCCCTTCCCCACCTGCTCCTGCCTGGAACTCAAGTCAGCTGTGGCCTCAATCCAGTTGTCATGGCGAGGCCCTCGGGCGGTCCTATGGGCCCTCCAGACCCCTCCCTCCCCATTCCCCGCCCGCCCTCTGAAGGTTGTGCTGAAGCCCTAGGTGAATGCAGGCCCTAAATAGAGCCAGCCTTCCCTCCCTTTTGTTCACATTTTGGTGCTCTGGGTCTCCCCCCTGAAACACCTTTGTTTCCTGACCGCCAAGCTTGTTTTTCCACATGTCCCCATTAGCTGTTTTTATTTGTTTGTTTATTATTTTTTATCTTAATTTATTTCAGAGAGGAAGGGAGAGAGAAGATAGGAACATCAATGATTAGAGAGAATCACTGATTGGCCTCTCCTGCATTGCCCTCCCCCTCACCCCTCTCTCGCCTCCCGGATCTGCACTCCCATAGCACATTGACTGAGAACTGAACCGTGATCTGGTTCACTGGTCAACACACAACCACTGAGCCACACCTGGTCGGGCCCATTTCGGTCCATTTCCTCTGGTGAGAACGAACCGTAGCAGGATCTTGGTCCCTTATGCTTTGAAAGCTCCTGAGAACTCAGCAGCTCTCACTTGCCCTCTGACAAAAGCCCTACACCCTCCTGGTCCCTGGTCCCCTCCCCTGAGGAACAAGCCTCATTGGGCTACAGACGGGGCCTTTCTGGAGGTTAGGCTCCTAACCAGCTCTGACCCTTCCCCTATGGTCCCACCACCTCCAGGCCCGCCTTCCTGCTACCGTGCCCCGAGATGCACCTAATCATTGCCTTCCCACACCTGGCTGAGCCCCTGCGTGGCCTCTGAAGGACTGGTTCTGTCCCCTGCCCGGCTCAGCTGCTCCCACTCCTGCATTCCGTCCCCTCTTCTGACAGCTGGAGCATTCACCGGCCGCAACACCCTGGTAAACCTGCACGCACTCGAGGCTCAGCATGGGAGCCCCAGCGCCTGGGCTCCTCCCCTGACAGATGAGGCGCCGGTCCACTGGGTCCCGGGGTGTCGTCAGGAGCAGCGAGTCCCTTTTTGCTGAAAGGAGTGATTCAGAGCCAGGCTGGGCACAGCACTTCGGGCTTCACACTCAGCAATGCTGTGCAGACGTGCTGCCCTCTGCTAACTACTGAGGCTGTGCTGCTTGGCTTAGATAGAGAGCACTGTGGGGAAGCAGCGCCCCCCGGTGCCTGGTCCTGTCCTTACACAGCACATTCATTGAGGCTAAACCTGAGATGCCTATGGATGGAGCTCCCTTCCTGGGTTAGATTACTCAGGGGCAGGCTGGGAAAGAGCCGCCGGTTCCCAGGTCTGTACAAGGCTAACACCCTTGGGCGGGGGGGGGGGGGGGGGGGGCTGCTATAACACAGTGGCAGGCTTGTTTTATGGGGACAAAAAACTAACAGGACGAGCCAGGAAACTGTGAAATGCTATCCCGTTCTGAGAAGCACTGCCAGGGTAACAGTTCAGAGACAGCACAGAGCAGAGGGTGGGAGGCGGGGGCGAGACGGGCAGGCGGCCAGCCGGCGCGGGGCCGTGGGGCGGCCAGCCGGGAAAACCCTGTTCGGCTGGATGGTGCCCAGGACAGAGGCGGCCAGTGTGTGTATAATATTTATTTGCATTTTATATATAGAACAAGTATTTACAGATACAAATGGAATCAGCAAAACTGCCGTGAAACCATTCCGACCCTCTTATGGCCGCTTCTGAGAATGTCCGAGGTCGAGCAGCTGGGCTGGGCCTGGCTGCGGAGCGGGCCAGCTGAGTACCTGGGCGCCAGCCAAGGGAAATAGCTGGGGATTATGACTTCAGCATTCTCCCAGAGCACATTCCCGTGTGCTGACTACACGGAGCCCTCGCCACCCCCACCTAACAGGGGCCTGAGCAGGGAGGGCAGCCGCGAACCACTCTCTCTTCCTGCCCCCAGGACGTCTGCCTGGCCCCTGTGCTGGCGCAAGCTACCCTGAGCTGGCCCGGGCGGTCTCCCTGGCCCAGGGCTGCTGGCTGCACTGCCGGCTGCTGTTTGGCAGCCGGAGGTGGCAAGAGCGGCTGGTGCTGCCACGGAGCGTTCACTGGGGGGGATGGGGGGGGGAGCTGGCCCCGGTCTGAGGAAGCATCTCGCGGCTTCAGGCTGGGAGGGTGGGACTGTCAGTGCTGAGTGGGGCTGGGGGCTGCAAGAGCACCTGCCTCTCCTCTCTTTGGCTGTAGAGATGGCGAAGGGAGGGCCACGACCATGGATGCAGCGGAGTTCACCCCAGCCTCAGCCTCGGTGCGTGAGCAGAGGGGTTCCCTCTCTCGGCCAGGGACCTGTGAGGCCCAGGGGGGCAGCTCTGGGGTTCCCTGCACCAGGGGCTGCTGGGGCTTCCCTTCGCTCTCCTGGGGGTCGTGGGGAGAGGCCTCTGCTTGGGACCAGCGCTGGCTTCCTCACTGCTCTCTCTGGGAGGTGCAGGATGGCAGGGTGGCCAGGAGAGGGGACCACAGTGTGGCTGGGGCGGGCGTGGGCACTGGGCCCTGGGCAGGAGGGATCACAGTGTCGGTCTCACACACCTCTGACACACACACACACACACACACACACACGTGCCCACAGCATCCTCTGGTTGGTTGGAGGCTCACTGGCTCAGACACTCGCCCTCTCTGCCCTCACACACGGTCACAGAGTAAATCGAGTGTCTTATTGCGGTGGCAGGCGGGCGGGCGGGCGCCGGGACGGCTACTCCACCAGGAGCGAGAACAGCACCATCACCACGATCCCCGCGCAGAGCAGGAGCACCTGCTGCAGGGACTGCCTGTGGGGAGAGGGGCGGGGGCTCAGGGGCTGGCGCGGGGGAGGGGCGGGAGGAGGCCAGGAGAGCCCTCCTCCTCCTCCTCTCAGGGCCGGGAGGGGCAGTCCCGTGCGGCACTCACCACGGGTCATCTTCCTCCAGGATGTCGGGCAGCACGTTCACCAGGGCGATGTAGAGGAAGCCGCCCGAGGTGAAGGGCAGGATCCAGGCCACAGTCTCCTCTGCGGGGGAGAAGGCCCGACTGGCTGGGAGCCCACGGGGCCCTCTCCCCTCCCGCAGCGGGGTCCGAACCGCCCCCCCCCCCCCCCCCCCCCGTCTCAATATCGGGTGTGCCCTTGGCTGGGACCCCGCTGCCGAGGGCCACCTGCCCCCACCCCACACCCGCCCGTACCTACGCCCTTGGGGGACTGTGTGCAGATGGCGAAGCAGGCGCCCAGCAGGCCCCCCAGCGCCGTGGACAGCTGGAGCTTGGCTGCGCTCCATCGGTCAAAGCCGGCCCGCAGCAGGATGGCGAAGTCGCCCACCTGAGGGGAGGTCCGGAGGATCACTCTGGGCCCTGGTAGGACCAGACCCCCGGCCCGCACCCCCTCACCGCACCCCCGGCCCGCACCCCCTCGCCGCGCCCCCGGCCCGCACCCCCTCGCCGCGCCCCCGGCCCGCACCCCCTCGCCGCGCCCCCGGCCCGCACCCCCTCGCCGCGCCCCCGGCCCGCACCCCCTCGCCGCGCCCCCGGCCCGCACCCCCTCGCTGCGCCCCCGGCCCGCACCCCCTTGCCGTGTCCCAGCCCGCACCCCCTCGCTGCGCCCCCGGCCTGCACCCCCTCACTCCGCCCCCGGCCCGCACCCCCTCACCGCACCCCCGGCCTGCACCCCCTCACTCTGCCCCCGGCCCGCACCCCCTTACTGCACCCCCGGCCCGCACCCCCTCGCGGTGTCCCAGTCCGCACCCCCTCGCCACGCCCCCGGCCCGCACCCCCTCGCCGCGCCCCCGGCCCGCACCCCCTCACTGCACCCCCGGCCCGCACCCCCTCGCCGTGTCCCAGCCCGCACCCCCTCGCTGCGCCCCCAGGCCCTCTGGAACTCACCTCATGGGGGATCTCATGCAGGAGGATGGCCATGGTGGTCAGGAGCCCGATCTGCAGGAAGGGGAGTCTGTGGGGGTCTGTGCCGAGGGCGGGGGAACCCTCTGTCCACTCAGCCTACCCTGTCTGCTCTGCTCTGAGCGCCTGCCCGGCCACTGTTCGGAGACCAGGAACACAGCGGCCACCCAGACAGACAAGGAGCTGCCCTCAGGAAGCTCACAGTCTGGAGGAGGGAGGCCAGGACTGAGTAGACACACGAGCTGCGTGCCACTCCCGGACAGCTGCTGGGGGCGAGGAGGGTGCCATGGGCAGGGGTCATGGGGCCTAGGTGGACAGGGGGCAGCAGAGGCCTGTCTGAGGAAGCCCCTTTAGCCGAGGCCTAAGGAGCCAGCGTGGGGGGTGGGGGAGAGCGTCCAGGCAGAGGGGGCAGTGTAAGGCGAGGCCGTGAAGGAGGGGAAAGCGGTGTTCACAGCTGGCAGACAGGCGGGGGAAGGTGGGGAGCATCTGGAAGCGGGCAGGCAGAGGCATGGGGTCCCAAAAAGGAGTGTCTGCAGCCAGGAGAACAGACCAGTGTCTCGGGACAAAAGACCACGTCCAGGAGAGCGACAGGGAGGACTGGGGCTCGGAGGAGGGTGTTGCTGATGCAGGGAGCAAGAAGTGATGGGCTGGAGACCTATTTTGGAGGCAGAGCCAACTGGTCAACACAAGCACCATCCTTCCCACTGGCATTGCCTGCGCCCGGCCGGCCCCAAGCCCCACTCACCTTCTTGCTCACCAGGAAGCTGGCGGCCACAGCCAGCCCGTGAGTGAAGTTGTCGATGGTGTTGGCCAGCAGGTTGAGATAGCCACGGACCTGGGGGAGGGGAGGGAGGGCCAGCTGAACAGGGCGGGCAGGGCCGAGCCGGGCTGGCCGCTCGGGGGGCGGGGGCGGCTGCAGGAGGAGGGGGCCCTCAGGGGCCACTCACTCTGATGCTCTGGACCACGGCGCTCAGGCCGGGCTCTGCAGCCGGCTGGGCCACGTAGCGGCCTCCACCGAGCACGGCAGCGGCGGCAGCAGCAGGGTCTTTGCGGGGGGCCTAGGGCCAGAAGGAGGGAGAGGTGACATTAGGTGCCCTCCCCCCGCCCCCCGCTTGGCCAGGGTGGACACAGAAGAGGAGCAGAGATGGAGAAACAGAGACAGGGAACACCCCTTTTCTCTGCTGCTTGGTCCGCCAGGTGCCCTCAAACTCAATGGACTGTCCGCCTCCTGCACGGCCGTCGCTCCCCAGATCCCCAAACAAGCTGGCCCGGCCCCCAGAGGCCCCAAGAAAAGGCCAAGAGACCCTCTTTGACCCAGGGTTTAACTCCGAACCTGGGCCTCCAGGCCCTGGGACCACGGCAGCACAGACTGAGGATCCCAGGTCCTGGGGTTTGGGGCTCACCTGGCTGGTCCCCTCCTGCTCCTTGCTGTCCAGGAACGTCTTTTCCAAAGCCAGGAAGGTCAGGAAGCCGGCGATGACCCACAGCCCCAGCTGTTGCTGCTGCTGCAGGCTCTGCCTCTCACCACCTGCAGGGGGCAGCACTGACAGACCAGGCCCAGCCAAGGCCAGAGAAGAGGGGCCATGTGGAATGGGGGGCCTCGTCCAGGGCAGGGACAGAGGCTGGTGGGGCAGCGGGGCCCCGGGGGCTCCCACAGAGGCCGGGGCAAGTTCCCAGCCTGATACCCAGAATCCCCCTGCCAGGCCTGGGCATGGGTACCGGCCCCCTGCCACCCCTGCCTGCTTGTGGCCTGCGGGCTGTGGCCTCACTCACCGAGGCTGGAGCTGCACGTGTAGGCCCAGGCCTCGGGCAGCAGGTGGAGGAACACGTTGCCCAAGAGGCCGCCCAGCGCGAAGCTGAGCAGCTGCTTCAGGCGCCGGGCCCCCGCTGCAAGGCAGAGAGAGAGAGGCGGGGCCTGGGGGCTGACCCTCCGGGGACCCTGCCCACCCGGCCTCTGCCCACCCCGGTGACTAGGCGCTCTCTGTGGTCCCCACCAGAACGTCAGCCTCTAAAAGGAACAGCTCAGCAGGAACGCCCTCAGCCTGACGACGGGCTGCAGAGCTACTGCCTCCTGGTTAAGGCCTCAGCTGTCCAACCCACCGGCTGGTGCCCGGGGCAGACCGCTCCCGGGACTCAGTTTCCCCTCCTGTAAACGGGGGACAAGTGTACCCATCGGATAGGGGTCCTCTGGGAAGCCGGTAACAGTACACTGAGCGAGGACTCCCTACACGGGGATTTTCTTTTCTCAGCCACTGTTACTCGCAGAGAAGTGACAGAGGTGTGTGTGGGGATTTTTGCTGATTTGCAGCATCCAGAGCTGGAGGTGCCTGAGGGGGGCCGTGTCCAAACCCTCGGTTTGGAAGACACTGAGGCCCGGAGGGCGGAGGCGCTTTGGGGGTGGGGTAGCAATGATGGGGGGCGGGGGGGAAGCTGCTGCTTCTAGGCTGTGGGGCCTCAGGTTGGTCCAAGAACCTCCTCTCTGTGCCCGTGCGTCCCCATTTGTAAAGTGGAGCTAGTAATCCAAGTCCCCCCTACCCTAAAGGGTGACCAGACGTCCCGATGTTTAACCATTTGTCCCGTGTCCCGCGGTGTTTTAAAAAAATCCATGGGACAAATGGTTAAAAATCAGGACTGTCCCGCCAAAAGCGGGACGTCTGGTCACCTTGCCCTCCCCTGACCTCGCAGGGACTGAGCTGAGGAACAGGCATGAGAGCAGGGCTCCACCCACAGCCGCGGCAGCAGCCTCTGGCCCAGGGACAGAATGAACAGGGGAGCACAGCACCCGGAGCCCTCGCCCAGACTTCCTGTGTCCCTCTCTGGGGTGGGGGCACAAGACACCTTCCCCCCCCCCCCCCCCGCCCGATCTCATGGACTTTCCATTACAACGTGCCGCTGTGGACAGACAGTCCACGCACACCCCACGGGAGGGCAGCCAAGGGGAGCCTCCACCTGTGCCGGGCCCCCACCGCCCAGACCCCCTCCCCAGAGGCAGGCCTGCAACCAACCTCCCTCCTGCTCCGGGGGAAGGCTGGCCCAGGGGCTCCGGGTCGGAGGGCTCTTCTGCATGACGAGCAGAGGCTGAAGGGAGAGGCAGTGCTTCGCTGGCCAAGGCCCACCCAGCACGGGTCCCTCACACTGCCTTCTCCCTGCACCAGGCTGCCTTACGGACATGCGCTCCTTCAACTGTCACAATGGCGCCTGTGAGGTAGACACCACTGTCACCCTTTCTCAGGCTGGGAGCCTGAGGCAGAGGGAGGCGAAGTAAAACTGGCCCAGTGGTACCCAGCTGGTAAGTGGCAGAGCCAAGATTTGAACCCAGGCCGGCTGATATCCATATTTCCCATCGCTATCTCTACTGCTGCTTGGTGACTGTTCGCTAGTGGTTGCTCTTTCGGAATAAAAGGACGCATAACGGAATGAACAGACGAGCCTGGGGAGCCCCGGTCTCACAGGGCCGAGGTGACACACTGTATTCTGTCCTCGCCCTCCACCTCAGACACTGGGACCCAGGACGTGAGACCCAGCTCTCCGGGGAAGAGAGAGTGCCAGGGGAGGGTCACCCACCTTCTGAGCGCAGGGTGGCTCCCATCTCCAGGGGGATGACCAGCAGCGGGAAGACCCCGCTGAGTCCCACCAGCAGGGAGCCCAGGAGGGAGCAGATCCAGGTGTCCAGCCGCTCCCCGCTCAGCAGGGCTCCCCACGACTCACTCTCCTTGTTATCGAGGCGACAGGCTGCTGCAGCCCCCCGGCTCCGGAGGGCCTGCTGGGAGCCCCCAGCCCCTCCCAGGAGCTGCAGGGCCACAGCAGCGAAGAGCAGGAGCCTCGGGCCCGCCATGCCGCAGCCAGAGCAGGGACATCCAGGCATGCCAGGAGCTGGAGAACACAGAGGCCACTCGCATGAGCTGCCACCGTGGCTGAACACCTGCGTGTGCATCTTACCCTCCCGCTGGCCTGACCCAGGGCCTCCGTGGCTCCGAAGAGTGGGTGCACAGAGCAAAGGGCTCCGCTCCTCCACGCTCCAAGGACCGCATTTTTTCCTCCTGAGCCGGCTTCCGGCTTCTGACTCTGTCAGCAGGTCTGCCCGAGGCTAAACTTTTCCTAATGACAGGGTGAGGCGCTGGCTGGCTCCCCTCAGCCACCGGCAGGGCAGGGCAGGCCCGGCCCAGCCGGGTGCCTTTGGCTGCCAGGGGAGGTTTGGCTACCGGGATGTGCCCTGGCGAGGGCACCCCAGGGACTGAGGCTGGCACTGTCTAGCTCGAGGGGGCGACCTTCGGAAGTGCCGGTTGTGAAACCAAGCAACGGAGCGAGCGAGGACAGGACCCTTAGAGCTTCTTCCTAGGAAATGGGCTCAGTGTCCCCGGGGCACAGACACAGGCAGGAGGTGGGGCTGAGGAGGAGGGATCCCGCAGCGGGAGCTGCCTCACAGATGCTCAGAGCACCGCCGTTAACTTGGTGCTGGGCTCAGCGGCAGCTTATAGCTGCTTGTGGGCAAGTCCCTGGAGCCCCCTCTCTGAGCCTCAGTATCCTTGTCTATAGGACGAAGATAAGTGTTGCCTCCCTCACATGGTCACGCACATAGATGAGCTCGATAATGCAGGTAAAGGTGCCTGGCAGGGAGGAAGCACAGCACCGGGCAGCAGGGCTGCACCCAGCCGGGGTCACAGGACTCCAATGTGAGTCAACCAGGAGAGAGGCTCAGCCTGGAAACTCAGGCATGAGGTGCCCATGCGGTCTGCCCTGCCTAGGGGTGGCTGTGACCTTGGCTGCAGAGTCCCTGCCTCAGTTTCCTCCTCTGCTGCCAGAGGTGGGAGGGAGGGGAAGCAGCTGCTCTGGAAACGATGCCCACGCGCGGCCCGGGACCTCCAGGCCGGAACGGGAGACCCCGATGACACCGCGGGGCGCCACTGGGGACCAGAGGCAGGCCCGGGCCAGGTCGGGCTTGGAGGCCGAGGCGGGTCACGCAGGGACGAGGGGATCGCGCAGAGATGGGGTCTGGAAAAGGGAAGGGGGTGCGGAGTCTGAGAGGAGAAGGAGAGAAGAAAGCAAGAGAGTGGAGAGGAAGAGATCAGAGATAGCGGATGGGACAGGAGGGGAGAGCAAGGCGGAGATGCGGAGCGACGTGCAGAGGAGCCCGGGAAGTTGGACTCCAGGCTTGGGCGAGGGGCCCAGGTCCGGGCCCGGGCCGGGCTGGGGGATCGCCGGGTCCATCCCGCCCCGGCGCGGGCCCGGGGGCCGGGCGGTCACTCACCGGGCTGCGGCGGCGGCGGCAGCGCTCCGGGCGGGCCCGGCCATCTAGCGGCGGCGCGGCGCCCCGCCCGGGCCGGCCCCGCCCGGCCCCGCAGCCCGGCCCCCGGCCCGGAGCCGCCCCCGGCGCGCGGCCACGTCACTCGGGAACCGTCCGGAACCCGCGGCGCCGCGCGCCGCCGTGTGCGGGGGGGTGGCTGTCCGGGAGCACTTCCGCCTCGCGGCCATGGGGGATCCGGGCGGCCAGCGCACTTCCGCTCGGGCCGGACTAGGGGCGGCGGGGAGGGCCGGGCGGAAGTGGGAGAAGCTCGGGTACGGCGCTCAGCGGGCTGGGCAGGGCCGGGGCTGTGGCTTCGCGGGGATCGCGAGCGGCCGGGCTGGCGGGTCGGTCCCGCGCGGCCGCACGGGGGCGTGCTCGCATGCCGGACTCGCAGCCTGCGGCCGGAGGCCCGGCTCCCTGGTGGGAGGGTGGCTGCAGCGCTGGGTTCTGAGTCACTGGCCTGGCTCCTCCATGAACACGGGGAAAGGGGAAGTGCCTGCCACAGGGAGGGGCCTAGCCCCGGGAACCTCAGAAGAGGGAATTTTATTCTTACTCATCGAATTATTTTTGTGCTTTGGTTTTTCACTGGGAACCTCAGGCCTTTGTCTCCAGAGATTGTAACCCTTTGGGGTCCAGTGCACGGTGGCTTGACACCGCTGCTCTGAGCTCCAAACCTGAGGAAAGCGAGGGCTCTGTGCTCATCCTCACCTAGCGGACAACGGCCTGACTTGTTAGACGAGGGCAGCAAACAATAGCATTATTATTATAACTGCAATGTACTGAACACCTGCTATGTGCCATCCACTCGCATTCTTAAGGAATCTTCATTCTATCCCACGGAGGCGGGTACCATTAGCCAAGGTTGAAACAATGGAACAGCTGGCAGAGCCAGGATTCAAACCTCTGGGTGTCCCTGAGCCCAGAGCATGCAATGGCACCTCTCATTTCTAGAGTGTGGGAGTCTGTCTTGGTGTTTCCACTTTGCAACCTTCTCTGGGAATCAGCCAGGACTGTACAGGAGGGGGCATGTGGGTACTTACTTGGGCAGAGATGGTGATGGGGTGGGGTTCTCCAAGCCTCGGACCCTCATCTGCATCCCATGATAGCTCCCTTCATCTGCCCTGAGTCCATCTCCTCTCCTGGGGGCTCTGAGGGCACACGATGCCCTGTACCACCTCACACTCCAATGTCTAGACTCTCAGCTCCTTCCAGGTGGGATCAGCTTTCCTCTGAAAGACCCCTGGCTGCCTCACCCCACCAGGCAGATCAGAGGTAGATCAGGGTGCCCTCTTGGGCCCCTCCCTGAGTTCTGAAGTGGAAACCCTGGGTTGGTTTCTTTGCAAGGGGAGGAAGGTCTGGGATCTCTAAGATGCCCCCCCTCATATGCAAATCACTCCATCATATGCAAAGCACTTCACAATATACAAATGATTTCACAATAGTGCAGTCAGCATTCCTGCCTCTGGGGGCTGAGGGCTGCTGGCCACCAGCCAGAGGAGGGGCAAAGCTGCCATTTGCTGCCTTCTCACTGGCCTTTCCTCTCACCGGGCCTGGAATGTCTACCATCAGACTTGCTAACGGATTAAAGCAACATGGGCATTGGGGATGGGACTGGAAGATGACAATAAGCGGGAGGGCCAGGTGGAATGATGTGGTGGGTAAACTAATGTGGGATGTTAAAAGCAGTGAATTAGATCTTGCAGGGGGCTTCCAGGTATAACCAAGTAAGAAAAGGGACATTAAATATTTATTTAACATAATCCACTATTTTAAAATAACGACAAAAGGAACCTTATATATGATCATGAGAATCAGTATATAAAAGTCCATGTATAATTGTAAATAAAAAATATATACGATCACACAATAGGGTGATAACATAAATTTTATGGTTGGGGAAAGAAAAACATAAGAGGGCCTGGCCAGTGTGGCTCAGTTGGTTGGAATGTTGTCCTGTGCGCCAAAGGGTTGTGGGTTTGATTTCTGGTCAGGGCACATCCCTAGGTTTCAGGTTTGTGCCCCAGTCAGAGCATGTACAGGAGGCAACTGATGGATGTTTCTCTCACTTGGATGTTTCTCTCTCTCTCTCTCTCTCTCTCTCTCTTTCTCTCTCTCTCTTCCTTCTTCTCTTTCTAAAATAAAAAACATATCCTTGGGTGAGGATTAAAAATTTTAAAAAATATATAAAAAAGGAAAATTTAAAAACATGTTAAGACATGTATATAATCATGTACTTATATTAAAAATTATAAATAAAATTTAGCTGAAACCGGTTTGGCTCAGTGGATAGTGCGTCGGCCTGCGGACTGAAAGGTCTCAGGTTCGATTCCGGTCAAGGGCATGTACCTTGGTTGCGGGCACATCCCCAGCTGGGGGTGTGCAGAAGGCAGCTGATCGATGTTTCTCTCTCATCGATGTTTGTGACTCTCAATCCCTCTCCCTTCCTCTCTGTAAAAAATCAATAAAATATATTTTTAAAAAATTATAAATAAAATTTAATAATACACGCATGTGGTATACCACTATTATATATACAAACCCTTGTTGACTGAAATGTTATGCAGCACATGACTGCATATATATATTTATGTGTGTGTGCAGATACATGTGTGTATATATGTGTATTGTATGTGTGTGCATATATATATATGTGTGTGTGTGTGTGTGTGTATATATATATATATATATACACATCTGTAATGGTCTCCTAGTTTGATGGTTAAGGTTAAGACAACCAGATTCTGGTATTAGATTTTCTGAGGCAAATTACTTAACTCCGTATGCCTTAGTTTCCTCATCTATAAAATGAATTACTATATCGGATTGTTGTGAGGATTAAATGAATGAATATGTCACCCTAACTGTTTTGGCTCAGTGGATAGAGCATTGGCCTGCGGGCTGAAGGAACCCAGGTTCGATTCAGGCCAAGGGTACATATCCTGGTTGTGGGCTCAATCCCTAGTGTTGGGGCGGGCAAGAGGCAGCCAATCAAGATTCTCTATCATCATTGATGTTTTTAGCTCTCTCTTCCTCTCCTTTCCTCTCTGAATTCAATAAAAATATATTTAAATAAAATAAAATGGGTGAATAAAGAGAGACATGATCCCATTTTAAATAAACAAAATATGAATGAATGAATATGTCTAAAGCACTTAGCACTACATCTGGCATATGGGAGTTCTGTTTAAGGGTCAGCTATTATTGTTTATGTTTGTAGATAGACACATGGGTATAAAAAAGGTATCACAGCAATAAAAAGAACAGATAAAGACACAGGGTGGGGGGATCCTCTCTCCTTGTGAGCACGGATGAGTTTTTGACTGGCCTCAGGGACAGGCAAACTTCAGCAGGGCAGGAGGGCCTGGGCGCTGCCTGGGTCTGAGTGGCCAGGCAGGGCTGAGGGACTGCAGAGGTCTTCCTCTGACTCCGCTGGCCTGCCCGGCGCCTGCCTTTAACACATGGCTATGGCTCTGGTACCCTGAGGGGGGCCTTTCTCACCAACTCGGCCTCGGCTTTCTGTTTCCAGGAGGCGGGCCTGCCCGGGCCTGCTGACCAGCAGTGGCTGGGAGACAGGCAGTGCAGGGCTGGAGGCTCCGGGCTGGGGTGACGATGCACACGTCTCCTGCTTCCCGCGTGTGGCTTTCCCTTCTCAGGGCTTTCCCGGGGGCTGCAGGCCCGCAGGCAGCAACCTCGTGGGGAAAGGCATGCGGCTCGGGGCGGTGAGCACCGGCCCATGGACTCAGAAGGGAAGGGGCAGAGTCGGGTGCTCACCCAGGGCCTGCTGCTCCTACAGAGGCTCCATCTCTCCACGCTGGACCTGCCTGTCTGGAACCCCTGACCCTAAGCCTTGGGCTTCTGAAAAGATAGATAAGCTTGCCTAGACCCTGCATAAAGTCTGTCCCAATGGATCTAATGTCTTCCTTTTCCTCTCTCCAACCTCAGAAGGGCAAAGGGGGGCGAAATCCTGTGCACGCGAGCCTTTGCAGGGGCTGCTTTTACTTCACTGGTGTTTCCTGGTCCATTCACTTACTTACCCTGTTTCCCCGAAAATAAGACAGTGTCTTCTATATTAATTTTTGCTCCCAAAGATGCGCTAGGTCTTATTTTCAGGGGATGTCTTATTTTTTCCATGAAGAAGAATACGGTACACATTTATTGTTAAATGAAAATAAAGGAAACTTATTACCTGTATACGGTACGGTAGTACGGTAGTTGTCAACACAAACCAGACAAATTGTGACTCCTACAGTATCAAGAATTTACTCATTTATTCAGTGACAATCCTGTCATCATCTTCTGGAACATCATCATAACAATCCAATTCCTGAATTTCCTGTTGAATTTCTCGTGACTCCATTTCTTTCAGAATCAGTGGACCAAATCTCTCATGTTTAGCAATAGCATTCTGAGACAGAGCCTAGGGGGGGCCTTATTTTCCGGGGGAAGCCTTATATTTCACTTAGAAGGAAACCTGTAAGTAGGTCTTATTTTTGGAGAATGCTTTATTTTCGGGGAAACACGGTATTTCTCCCCTCCCCTCCCCCCCCATCCATCTCCCTGTCTCCTCCTGGGGGGAACCTGAGTTTTGTGTTGATCACAAAATAGAGTTTCAATGGAGTTTTCATTCATCTACCTACCTGCATCCAAACATATATGCCTAGACTGTATTCTGATTGACTTGGCTTTTTTTTTTTTTTTTTTTTTTTTTAAATAAGGGAAAAAAAGCTCTTCTAAGGTGTTTTTTCTTCTTCTATTATTCAGTGATTTTTATAATTGTGTTCCTATAGGTCCTGCACCACTGTTTACCTCTTCATAATAAGTTCACTTCTAGGTATTTTACATCTTTGCGGCTATTTTGAATAGGATATTTCCGGTTACATTTTGAAGTGCTTGTTGGTAGGGCACTGGGGCCAACAGCATTTTCTCCCTGGTTATACTACTTTCTCAGCCTTGCCCTGGAGCCCTCTGGGTGGGCAATCCTGCCCTCCCTGAACACACAGGTGTTAGGAGAAAGGAGCCATCGTGGCTATCTGTGGAGACCTCACAGGAAGTGTCTGTCTCCTGGGCGTTCTCATTCAGCCTCGTTGTGCTAAGATTCATTCATGATATCGCCGGGAACTGGTTTATTTGCTCTCACCGTTGAGTGATGTGCCGCTGTGTGAAGGAAGCCAATGTCATTAATTTAGCCGTTCTCTGGTTATGGGCACGCCAGTTGTGTCAGGACCGCTGCTGCTAAGAACAGGGCAGCGTTGACCTTTCTCGGCCCTGTCTCTGGAGCGCTTGCCGGAGTTTCTCTAGATTTTATGCCTGAAGGGTGTTCGCTGGGCCTCCGCGTGGTGAGATAAGGCTGGATTGTGTGAGCCTGCTCCGGCCAGTGGTTATACCAGTTGCAAGCCCTGGCGATTCCGTGGCCCCAAGACTGGGTGCTGAGGGCCCGTTATTTTTGCCCTCCGGAGGGCGGGTGTAAAATAGCACCTCATTGTGGCCTTCATTTGCATCTCCCTCGGCTCCAATGGGCTTGAGCATCCTTCAGAGGCGGGTGGGACAAATGTGCCTCCTTCTCTGACAAAATGCCCACTCGTGTCTTGTCACTGTTTTTCTATGGGGTCACTTGTTTTTCCCCCCTCTGTGGATTGGCACGTTCTTGATGTATTTTTGATGGGTATCCTTTAGGTCTTCCGAGGCAGACGCCTCCTCCCGTTTGTGGCTGGCTTTTCACTTTCTCTGTCTGCCCGTCTCTTCCCTCCCACACCTGTGCCAGGCCCGCCCATGGCTCTGTGCCGTGTGAGTGTGTGTGTGTATGTGTGTGTGTGTATGAGTGAGAGAGAAAGAGAGAGCGTGTGTGTGTGTGTGTGTGTGTATGTGAACGTGTGTGTGTGTGTGTATGTGAGTGTGTGTGTGTGTGTGTGTATGTGTGAGAGAGAAAGAGAGCGTGTGTGTGTGTGTGTGTGTGTATGTGAATGTGTGTGTGTGTGTGTGTGTGTGTGTGTGTGTGTGTCTGTGTGCAGGAGGGATGGGGGTCTTGTGCCCTCCCCCCATGGAGACCGACCCCCTGCCTCTCTTGCCCCCCCCCCCAGTCTCCCTCCCAGCTTTGGCCGGAGCGGCCTGTTCGGGGGAGCCCCTCTGATTGGGGTGGCCAGGCTGGGGCAGGGAGGCCTCACGGCCAAGGTGCCCCGCTTCCCCCGGAGTTATTTATCACTTCCGGCCCCTCCTGGGGGGCGGGCCTCTCCGCTCCGCTGGGCTCCGGCCGCGCTCCCTGGGGGCCGGCGGGGGAGGGCGCTCCCGGCCTGGGGCGGGGGCGGGCTGCCCGTGGGGTGGGCGGCGGAAGCTGCCGGAGCAGATAAGGGCCGAGGTCTGCTCTGCGGTGAGACTGTGCGGGACGCCTCCCCTCCCCACGCCGAGCCGCCCCGCACCCGGGCCGCTCCCCCCAGCCCAGTCCGCCCGGCCCTCCTCCCAGCTCCTTCCGTCCCAAAGCTGTCATCTCAGCTGGGAAACGGGGGTAGGGCCCCCTTTATCCCACAGTGAATAAGCTGTTGCAGGTGAAACCAGTCGGGGCTGGTGAAGGGCCTCTGGGGATTCGGGCCTTTTGTGGAAGATGGGGGCCCTGAGCTCCTCTCATTGCCCTGCTGCACCCCCTGACCCTCCGGGGATCACCCCCATTGCATAGGTGGGAGGGCGGGGGTCCCCCTGAAATCACAGAGACAGCACAGAGCGGGGCGGAGGAGGGTGGCTCTCTGCACTGCCCCCAGTCCGGGGACTGAGCTATTTAATTTGGGGGCCTCTTTAAGAAAAAGTGACAAAATCACAAATGCAAACTTCCCGAGGCCTCTCTCCCAGGACCTTGGGAGGGATCCAAGCAAGGGAGCAGCTCAAGTTCAGCGTCTTGGTGTTCGGGCCCCAGCCCACAGGCCCCTTGGAGGGCTCACAGCTCTCTTAGGGGAGAGGGCAGACACCACCAGGGTTACGGGGTTACCGGGCTACAGGGTAGGGTGGCCAACACAGTGGGGGCGGCTGGGAGCGGCCCAGCTGCAGCTGGTCCCCACGCCTGGTGCCTTGTGTGCCGAGCCAAGAGGAAGGGCAGTCAGGCATTTGGGGGCTGCACCAGGGCGAGGCAGGGCCAAGCCCCCCAGTTCCAACCGGTTCTGGTTCCGCTCGCCACTCAGGGCCTCTGACCCTGCGGGCGGAGGTGGTGGGGAGCACTCTCTGGGAGAAAGAAAGGGGGACCTCTCTGGGGCAGCAGTGTAAGTGCATCTGACTTGGAGGCACAGGGAACTGGCTGTGTGTTTCTGGCCTTGGAAAGACTCCTTTACCCGTGGCTTCTTCTATAAAACGGGAGTAATGAGAGTCCCTACTTGTCAGAGCTGTGATGAGGCTTAAAGGAGACCATGCACCAAGAAGGCCGGAGCCCTTAGAAACACATTTCTGCTCTAACCGGTTTGGCTCAGTGGATAGAGCATCGGCCTGCGGACTGAAGGGTCCCAGGTTCGATTCCTGTCAAGGACATGTACCTTGGTTGCGGGCACATCCCCAGTAGGGGGTGTGCAGGAGGCAGCTGATCAATGTTTCTAACTCTCTATCCCTCTCCCTTCTTCTCTGAAAAAAAAAAAAAATCAATAAAACATATAAACAAACAACAACAAAAACATATTTCCCTCCTGTGACGTCTCCGGGCCAGGAGAGAGAGGCCTTCCATGTCCATTTCAGGGTGGAGTCACTTCCCAGGGGTGCTGCTGCCTCAGGCCCAGAGTTGAGATTTGAACCTGTGAACCTGTGAATGCCTGGCACCCATGCCCTGGTTCTAGCCACCAGGGGAGGCTGCCTCCTCAGGCCTGTCTCTCCAGGAATTACGTCTCACTGCTTGGGGTGCACGCCAGGCCAGGGGGGTGGGGGAGCACTTGGTTCAGAGGTCTGCTCACCTTTCTGGATTTTCTCCCCTCTCTGCTCTCTTAGGCACCAGAGGCTGGAAAATTCCCAAGTGCTATCCTGCCACCTGGACCGGGAGGAGCAGGGGCTCTGGTGATGGGGGGAAAGTGGGGGAACGGGAGAAGCCATGGGCCTGGGCAGCAGTGACACCCCGGAAAGCTCAGAGGAAGAGGTGCTGCTTTGCATCCTGGTTTGCATAGGATTTCCACTGGGTCGGCGGCCAGAACCGAGCCCCCGTCTCAGAACTGCACCTTTCTGGACAGCTGATCCAGTACCAGCCACGCCTCCCCTCGGAGCCTCAGTGTCCCCGCCTGTGAGCTGGGGGTCAGAAGGCCTGCAGCTTCGGGGATTACAGGACGTTGTGTATGTAAAGTACCCGGTGAATGGCACCAGTGGTTGAAACGGTCGTGGCTGTCAGAGGGTGAAAGGGGCATCTTGTGAGGGCAGGAGCAGCGTGCACAGAGGTGGGAGTCCTGCCAGGGCAGGTGTGGGGGCCCCAGGTCTCCGTCCCAGGCAGGGAGCGCCTTGGGGTACGGCTGGGAACCGCAGCTACAGCCCGCTCCCAGACCTGACCGGTCAGAGAGAGGCCCGGGGCCCGCCCTGGGGGTGCAGAGAAGAGCCGGGAGCCGAGGGTCTCACCCCCCTCAGGCAGGTGAAGGGGAGGGGAGGGAGGAAGCGGGGCTCCTGAGTGCGGATGGGAGGGGCCTCTGTTGTGTGATGCTGGCCACACGAACACCCCATCCCACGGCCTCCTTCGTCTCTTTGCACGCTTTCAAGGCAGGCGTTTTCCAAACGGGGAAACTGAGGCCCGAGAGGTGCGATCACTTGCCCAGGTTCACACCCTGGATCTGTCTGGCTCGGCGATCTGGACTCCAACAGTCACTGCCACTTTCTTATCTTACCGGCCTGACAGGGTGGGAGTGAAGCAGCGTGATCTCGCTCGGAGGGATCCGGGGCCAGCCGCTCTCTCCTGCACCCCTGCCCCGGCTGGCAGCGGTCTGCTCCCAGGGAGAGCCTGAGGGAGGGAGGGAGTGAGCGCACCATCTCAGGAGGGCTTCCAGTAGAGGCTGCCTGAGTCTCCGCCTGAGTATTTCGATGGGCGGAGGGTCTGCCGGGCATCGGAGGGCGTGGCTCCGAGTGGCCCCCACACTAGCCGAAATGTTCCCGAAGTTCCTCATTTTATCTTGAAAATGGTTACCGATGTGCATCCTTCTTTGTAATAGGTCAGCTTTACCCCCCTTAAAAACACACACACACACACAAAAACACCTCTACCTGAGTGGAGGACATGCCACGGTGCCCGCAGTGCCCACACAGGGGCGCCCGGCCCCTGGGCCGCTTCTCCTCTCCTAGACGTTTGTCCAGCCCAGTCCAGCCCAGCCCAGCCCAGCTCTCCCACTAGGAATTCTCAGGGTGCCTCATCCTCCCTTCATCCCCGAGGGGCCTTGTCCCTCTGCAGCCCTCTCTGCACCTGGTCCTCTCAGCGCCCGGCTCTCAGATTTCTGTGCCCATTCAGGGGAAACTGAGACCCAGAGACAAGAGCTGCCCAGCCCCAGGATGCATGGCAAGGAGGACTGTTGTGTGACAGGTGCCTGGGCCTGGGGAGCGGGCACCAGATCTGGGCCCCGGCCAGGGACGCAGGAGGGAGGAGGGAAGCCCTGGGGCACCGGGGGCTGCTGCCTGGCAGGTCCCTGTGCCCTGGGTAGGGAAGTTTCTTATTTCTCCTGCTTGACTTCCCCCTTTGATTTATTATAGCCATGAAATGCTCTGCTCTCTTCTCTTTTCCCTGCTGTCCCGGGCCTGGAGGAGCGCGGGCCCCCCGGGACCTGGGTCTGGGCCTCGCTGGACTCCCGTCTCCTCCCGAGGGCTGCGCCGGGGAGCCAGAAACCAGCGGTGAGCTGTGCGGCCGGGGCGGGGGGAGGAGGGCCCGGCCTCCCAAAGGCCAGCCGGGTACGACCCAGGGGCTGGCACGGTCTCAGCTGGGGAGGCGTGGGGCCGGGCAGAGGGTGTGGCAGGCAGGTGTGGGCTTGCGAGCAGATGGCTCCCTGGGGTCGTGGGGGTGGCAGACGCTGGGCCAACGGCCCTGGGCAGGCTGGGGGATTGGGTCCTGTCAGGGTCCGAAGGCCAGGCCCAGAGTTCTCCGCTGCCAACCGCCAGGGCAGAGCCACGGCTTCTCTGTGACCCCTGACCCCACATTCTGATTTCACCGCGGCCAACGCAGGCCCGGCTCAGGCCGGGTCGAGGCCCGGGCTGAGAACCCAGAGGAGGGCATGAGGCCCGGAGCCTGGGAACCTCCCGCCGCTCCAGGCCCCAGCTGGACACCACCCCGTGGCCCGGGCTGGGGAGGGCCGGTGGAGTCTGTCTGTCTGTCTGTCGGGCTGCCTGCCGGGCAGCGAGGGCCGGCCGGAGCGTCCCTGCCCCGCTGTGCGGTGCCTGTGGTAACGGGGCTGTTGGCGTGTTGCAATGGGCCGGGGGTGGGGAGGCTGCGCACACAGGCTTCCTGTGGTG